GCGCCCCCCCCCCCCCGCCGGCACTGCCTTAGCTGCCTCAGCCCCCCTCCAGCACCTTTCAACTGGCCCCCCGCTGGAAAAGTTTGAGGACCCTGTTCAAAAGGAACAACTCTGTGAATGGCAGGAAAGTGGGACAACTTTTAGAATGGGTAAATTTAGAACATCTCCTTCCTTATAGGCCCTCACGCCCCTTAAGATCTGTGGGAGAGGCCCTGCTCCGGGAACCCTCCCTGAAGGAGGTAAAAAGGACATCAACTCAGAGTAGGGCCTTCTCTGCAGTGGCACCCAGATTATGGAATGAGCTCCCCAGAGAGGTCTGCCTGGTGCCAAGCTAATACTCTTCTTAGTGCCAGGTTAAAAGCTTTTTATTTAACCGGTATTTTAAAAGTTAGTATTTTAATGTGCAGTTGCTTTTTACTTAATTTATTTTTATTCACCATATGTTATTATTGTTAGAGATTGTTTTAGTGTACTTGATTTTAAGGATTGTAAACCGTCCTGAGATGCCATGCATAACGGCAAATAAATAAATAAAGTATAGAACCAGGAGGAATTGGGACAATTAGAAGACAGGACAAAGGGAGCCTTTTCTGACTAGTTTCCAGTTCTTTGCACTGGTTTGCTCAGGAATCTGCCACACAATTCCACGTCTGAACAGTGTTTGGTCATGTTTCCATACTCGTTGGATGTCCATTGCCACTTTTGTGGGGTTCTTGGAGCCCTGCAAAGCCAAGCTGGTGCTACTTAAACAACAAACCCCCTTTTTTCCAGCTCTGAACTAGAAACCAAGATGGCGCAACTTAGCCGCAGTACTGGACGTTCCACTGAAAGCTGCTACCTCCAGTTCCAGTTCCTTTGCCAGCTACCTCTTCTTTTGACTAACTCGCTCATCTGTTACTGGAAAGATGAGAATTCTTTGCTTCTTACGGGGCTGAATATGTTTCAGAGTTAATTGGATGCAGATGTTTGTCTGCTGTTTGGGTGCTGATGGCAGGGCACAATTCTCTCTGCTTCTCATCCTCACGGGGATTTAGCGGTTACATACCAGGCCAAATCCTGCCATTTGCAAAACTGGCTTTGCAAAACTGGAATGAGCAAGGGCTCCAACCTTGCAGGTGTTCCAGTCTTGGGTAAGTTGAGGGCAGAAACACTCCGTCATCTGATTATTTCTCAACAAGTTTGTGGAATTCAGGTTTATTCCACCGCCTGTTTTCTCCCTTGTATTTGTGGATTGTTTCTTATTTGCTCTGCTCTGAGTTTCATTTCTCTCAAATTTCAATTCAGGTGGGAGAATTCCAGAGTGAGAATATGCTTGGTTCAAGACAGATTTCTGTTATTATGTTGTATTTATATCTCGCCTTTGTCACGTGGCATTTATATCCTACTCTTTTCCCTCTTCCAAGGAAACCAAAGTGACTTCTATAATTTATCTTCACAACCACCTTGTGAGGGAGGTTGGGCTGAGAGTCTGTGACTGGCCCAAATCACCCAAGGAGCTTCATGGCCATCTGAGGACTTGGACCTGGGCCTTCCCTGCCCTGAACCAGCACTCTAACCACTAGGAAACACTACCTTTGCATCTCTTTCCTTCCACCCATGTTGCCTATGTGCATGGATAAAGCTCAGCCACAAGAAAAGTAATATTCCACCAGCCTTCCTGAAGAACCTACTCCAGGAAGGCTATTTCCTTACCTGTCTTTATTTCAGAAAGAAGAAGGGAAGTGTGACTGTTTCATTAGCAAAAATGCTATTTAACTTTTCCCCTTCCCTTCCCTTCCCTGCCTTGTTTGTTGAGTCTATTTTGTCCATGAGCTTGTGGTCAGACAACACCGTGTTTAACTGTTTGTTTGCCCACTACTTCCGGAGGCTGGGCAATAGAACAAAAATACTGGAATTTCTTTCTGGGCTGCTCTTACTGTATATTCATGTGCACACGGACCCTCAAGTCTTGCGAAAACAGCGCACAAAACCAGATCGTGATTCAGGCAAGCAAAGGATCATAAAAAGACTTGCTTCTTGCTGAGTTTTACCAGGGTTGGCCTTATTTTGTCTAGCACAAAAAAGAATAGCAAAGAATAAAAGGCTGTTGCATATCGTTTTACTTCATTTCTGTTCTGCCCCATAGCCAAAGCTGTCTGGGCAGCTTCGAACAGTAAAATTTTACAGATTTTGGAATAAGAGAGTGGAGAATTACGAGGGGCATTGGTCCCACTTTGGAGCTTAATTCAGAGTTTAAAATCCGGGGAGACATTGAGAACATTCTCTGTCAGATGTTACTCTGATGCATATTGAAAGAAATCTCGGGAATTTCTTCTCTCCTGGGTAATTAATCCAATGCGTTTGCTTTTTCGTCAGCTGGAAAATAACATGCCACAAAGCTGCACACACATTCGCTGGGCAGAAAAGAAAATGGATGGGGTAATAGACGGATAAATAGATATAAGACTCCAGCTCAGAACATTTGGCTCGGGTTTTATTTGACCTCTGAGAAGCTGAAATGTTTCTTTAAACAATATATAGAAAGGGATTATTGTTTTGGCATAACTTTCCCCAAATGGCAACTGACCTGAAGCCAAGGGGGATGATGAGATTTCAGTGTTCAGTTTTACAACAGTTTTACAATTAGTTTTTTTCTCCGGAGCAAGAACGCTTAGCTGCTCCCGTTTGTTATGTTCTTTGAAAGGAGGTCATGATGGAGGTGCACACAATGATGTGCAACACATAGGAGGCGCTTTCGGATAATTTTTCCTCCTCTTTCATAATATTGGAATCCAGAATCATCCAATGAACAGTAGAAAATTCAAGATACTGAAAGGACAGGCTTTCTATACCAGTGCAGAAGGGATTCTGGGAAGCGATGGAACTGAGGAACCCAAGATGGAATGGTGGCTCCATTTTATTATTACTTATTACATTCATATCCTGTTTTTTTTTTTCTTACAAACTCAAAGCGGCTTGCATCCTTCTCTTCCTGCTCTCAATTTTATCCCAACAACAACCCTGTGAGGTAGGCTGGGCTGAGAGGCTGTGACTTGCTCAAAGTCACCCAGCTGGTTCCACAGTCGATGGATCTGAGGTGGGGTTGTATTCATTAGAAGACAAAAACTGCAGGTATTCCCCAGTTTCAGTAGCTAAGAAACACAAATTTGTCTTGCTTGTGGGAAGGCTTGTAATGAAACCCTTGGAGTCCATGAATGCTCACAGACTCTGGCTGTACAACCTGTCAGTCAGTTTATTGCATTCGCCATAGGCCATTACAAGTTAACAAGGTAAAACACTGAATTAACAAATAAAACCAGAAATCAAGTGTATTAAAACATAATACTAAAATACAGACCAGGTGTGATTCAGGGCAGTGTCCCCTTTAAAACCTCCCTAGCTCTTATCTTTTTAGCTGTGTGAGAGCAAAAAGAAGAACGAGAATAGACACATACGCATCAGCGACGGACAAGAACACGAACTTCTCAGGATCAGAGTAGGCATTAACTATTTTTGACTAGTAGTACACTAGTCAAAAAGTTTCCCTAGGTTCACGATATGTTGACCTTTTTGTTTAATCAATATTTTAATATGCATCAATAGTAACTGAATTTTATTGTTTGTATTTTATTATCTACAGCCAGCCTGGAATAGTCTATTTATTGTATTTTGATTTATGTTGTAAGCCTTTCAGAGATGCAAGTAATGGATGGTATACAAATTTTATAAATAAATAAATATAAAGAACAGTGAGGAATATAGTGCAAGAGGTCCTCTGCTTCAGGTGATCTTCAGGTGCAGACACGCTGCACCATTGGAGTACGAGAATAGTGACCAGGGAGTAAAGCTGTATATGTGGTTTGGAAATGAAGGGCTGTAAAGGCCACACTAAGGCCATAATTTGGGATGGAAACTAAGTAATCCGAACTTATATTTATTTATTTTTCATTTATTAAAAGCTTTTCTATCCCGTCCCCTACAGAACGTCTCGGGACGGCTTACAATAAATAAACAGAACAGCCCCACAGCATCCAACCATGATATACTAAAACCCCAGTTAAAATCAGTTAGACATTAAAATAATGGGAAAATTAAAAGGGGGCCGCCTGACGCTGAAAATAATATAACGTCGGCGCCAGGCAAACCTCTCCGGTCATGTTTAATCAGTAAAAACCAAGGAGAAGCCTCGGAGTTGTACAACCAACAACCTTTCCCATCAGGACGGACTGCAGGATGCCGAAGAGGGAATGGCAGGAGGGTCTCCTTGTGCAAATTCTAGATTGTGCAAACTGTTACAAAAGTCTTGCTGTTTTGCGTCATGGATGATGAGCGGCTCCTCGGAATTATGGGCTCTGGCGGGGTGGGACCCTCATGTTTTGAAAGGCATGGTAGGAACACCATGTTTAACTCTGGATTGCTCTCTTTTCCCCCTTCTCTTTGAAGAACTGCCTGGACAGAGCCAGCTGCGAACGATGGAAGAAAGCAGGGTGCCGGAGACGCCTCTCCCCTTGAAGACCGTAAGAGCACCGAAAGCTTTGCATGGGGCGATGTGAGACGGGACCCCACCCTTCCCAGCCATGGAACTGGGGAACCTCAGCACCGCCAGGGGCCTGGGCGCCTGCTTCCGCAGGATCAACAGCAGCGAGGAGGACGGGGGCCAGATCCGCTCGCCGTGGTTCTCCCTGGTCTTCGGCATCATCGGCCTGTGCTCCAACCTCTTCGCCCTCTGCGTGCTGGTCAACTCCTCGCGCAAGATGCACAGCCGGTCGCGCTCCTCCTTCCTGGTCTTCCTCTGTGGCCTGGTGGTGACGGACCTCATGGGCCTGCTGGTGACGTTTGCCATCGTCATCCCCTACCACTTCACCCACTTCGACTGGAGGGACGTCGACCCGGGCTGCCACCTCTGCAACTTCATGGGCGTCGTGATGGTCTTCTTCGGGCAGTGCCCGCTGCTGCTGGGCGCCACCATGGCCGGCGAGCGCTTCGTGGGCATCAACCGCCCCTTCTCCCGCTCCACCAGCATGCCGAAGCGCCGGGCCTGGACCCTGGTGGGGCTGGTGTGGGCCCTGGGCTTTGCCTTCAGCCTGCTGCCCATCCTGGGCCTGGGGGACTACAGCCTGCAGTACCCCAACTCCTGGTGCTTCCTCACGCTGGTCCACGACGCCCGGAACATGGCCTTCTGCCTGATGTTCGCCCTGCTGGGCCTTCTCTGCGTGGGCCTCTCCTTCCTGCTCAACACCATCAGCGTGGTGACCCTCTGCCGGGTCTACCACGACGCAGAGGCGGTGCAGCGCCGGCGGGACAGCGAGGTGGAGATGATGGTCCAGCTGGTGGGCATCATGATCATCGCGACCGTCTGCTGGCTCCCCCTCCTGGTGAGTGGCAGGACTTCCTCCCGCCGCTCCTCTTTCATTCCCACCCAGCTGAGTAGCTCGGCCTTCGCCAGCTTGGTGGTCTTCGGGGGCACGTGGAAAGCAGCTCCCAGAGTCCCATCCAGCAGGGCCGCTGATGGGGAATTCTGGGTGTTGCAGGCCAGACGTGTCTGGAAGGTCCCAGGTTGGGGAACAGCTGGGGAACTGAGATTGTCTTTCTGGCTTCTCTCTCCACAACACCATGCCCTTGACTCCAGGAGGCCCTGCAGAACACTTTCTAAGAGATTCCCACCCTCTCTATCATTGCAGTCGTTGAGGACAGAAAAGTCCCCTTCTTGTTGTCTGCCTGTGAGAGAGAGAGGCAACACCAGCAAGGCATTATATCTTTCTTTCTTTCTGTCTGTCTGTCTTTCTCTGTCTTTCTGTCTTTCTTTCTTTCCTTCCTTCCTTCCTTCCTTCCTTCCTTCCTTCCTTCCTTCCTCTCTCTCTCTCTCTCTCTTTCTTTCTCCTTCCTTCCTTCCTTCCTTCCTTCCTTCCTTCCTTCCTTCCCTCTATGTATCTATCTTTCTCTTTCTCATCTATCTATCCATCCATCTCTCTTTCCATCCATCCATGCATGTATCTATCTTTCTCTATCTATCTATCTATCTATCTATCCAGCCATCCCTCTCTCTCTCTCTCTCTCTCTCTCTCTTTCCTTCCTTCCTTCCTTCCTTCCTTCCTTCCTTCCTTCCTTCCTTCCCTCTATGTATCTATCTTTCTCTCTCTCATCTATCTATCCATCCATCTCTCTCTCTTTCCATCCATCCATGCATCTTTCTCTATCTTTCTATCTATCTATCTATCTATCTATCTATCTATCTATCTATCTATCTATCTATCTATCCAGCCATCCATCTCTCCCTCCCTCCCTCCCTCCCTCCCTCTTTCTTTCTTTCTTTCTTTCTTTCTTTCTTTCTTTCTTTCTTTCTTTCTTTCTTTCTTTCTTTCTTTCCATCTCTCCCTCCCTCCCTCCCTTCCAAGCACTTCTTATTGTCGGTGAACCTCAGCAAAGCAGCGTGACCCCATCTGCATGTGGGACCAGCTGCCACAGTCCTTCATACAGAGAGAATCCGTACATTTAGATTATGGATTTGTGCAGTGATTAGTAACAGGTTTGTGCAGTGATTAGTAACAGAAAATGTCGCAAGCATGGCTCGATCACATCCTTTGGAAAGGGAACACATAAACAGCAGGAAACACTCACTTTTGGAAATTTGGTGTCAAAAATTTGCCTCCAAGCTTTTTTGTAAAAATTTTGGCCTTCTTGACAGAGGCTGATGTTTTATTTCCGACTCTGGTGTCTCTCCGATAGAACCCTAAGTAATGGACCCTTGTTGTTTGGTCATCAGGAAAAATTTATCTTCGTCACAGTCCTTAAATGAACCCTGCAAGGCAAGTCAGCATCATCATGGCAGACTTATGAGTAGACCTGGCTTTGCACAGATAGGGAGCGCTGAGCATCTGATGCAGCGAAGCCTTTGGCAGTCTTACTCAATGGCTGGCATTGGTCCAATGCTGCACACGTTATTGAAGTGGAAAAGAGGGGTCAGCCCACTCTGTTCCCCTGCATGGGGGGAGGGGGTCTGCCCCACAGCAGAGAGGAGTGAAAAGCTAAGCCAATCTGCCCTTTGGTCTTGTAATCCCTTCGAATAGTTTGGATAGTTCAAATATGCAATAGTTTGTCTGTCTAAGGGAAGCCCATGCTCAGCATTCTACTGCATCTCTGCATCAGGTGCTAGTGGATGGTCCAAGGTAGGAGCATGACCTGCTTTTAGGGGAGGGTTCCCATTGCATCTCTGCATGAGTCCCTGTACCCATCCAGAGTCCCTGCATAGACTGTAGGACACATTTTCTCTCGTGCTTTTGTAGGCAACCTTCCCTTCTGTCCCCGCTGCCGATGAATGACTAAATAGGACCGCGATTCCCATTCAGAAAATAAATAAAAACCCTCAAAGAAAAGGTTATGTTCCTGCATAAAATAACCAGGGGGACTTGTTTGAAAAAAAAGACAACAGAGAAATTGATATCTTCTTTGTTACATCTCTCTCCACAACCCCCGCAACCCCCACTCCAGATCCTCATTGCACAAAAGGCCCTTCAGGGGCCCCCCGTGGGGGTGGCCACCAATCAAATCCCCCACGAAACAGAGAAAATGCTGCTCATTTCCCTCCGCGTGGCCACGTGGAACCAGATCCTCGATCCGTGGGTGTACATCCTCTTCCGGCGGGCCGTCCTCAGGCGCATCAACCCCAGCTTCAAGTCGAGGCCCTCCATCATCTCTCTTTATCCTACGCTCAACGCATCGCTGCGGCGGAAATTTACCCAGGAGTCGGTGGTCAATTAGGAAGGGGGCGTGTGCCTGCAGATGGGAAGACCCCTCCCCAGTACGGCTCTAGAACGGGGAAGCACCTCTGTTTCACGCTACCGCTCACTGCTTTAAGAGGACGAAGGCACTGGAAGCATGCCCAGCTGCCCACACCTTGTGCCTGCCCCTAAACCTGATCCTGGGCCCCAGAAAAACCCCATGCCGGCCGTCCTAGGAACCCTATTACTGCATGAGCCATATGCAACTGACATTGCCGCAGACTCGGGTGGAAGGACCCCGAGAGGCATGCTTTGGATCCATTTGAGGCTCGCCCCAAAGCACAGAGTGGCCTGGGGAGGTGAGCCACCTGGCTTACAAGCGAACGAGGAAGAGCAGGATAGCCGGAGCCGTGCAAAGCGCTGCAGACTGTTGCTGCAGAAATAAATCCCACTGAACGATTTCTCCTTGTCTCTGTGCCCCTTCTGAGGTGAGATGCAGCCCTTTTCTGGGCCAAGTAAACAGGACTGAAAGGAAATGGAAAGGCATCTTAAAGGATTACAGCCAGACAGATGAAGGCTGCTAAAAGAAAAGGGAAAAGCCAATGTGTTAGGCCACGTTAAGAGAGTTTAGATGAGATGAAAAGTCATACTCCACCTAATTCTGCTTTGGCCAGGTCTTAGTTGGAGTCCTGGGTCCATTTCTGGGCACCATGGCCCACGGACAAAGTCAAGTGTGCCCAGGGAAAAATGTGCATTCTCTCCAGAAAGTCCAGGCTTGGGCCACTAAGTGGAAAAAAGATGCCATGTGCTTGATCCTTCCTTCTGGGCAGGCTGACAAGGAAACAGATGTTCTGCAGGGACGGCGTGGAAAACAGGCACGGAAGCAAGCGGTGATGAACATGAATCAGCCGGGAGCTCCTCTTACTTCTCCCGAATGGAGCTTAGAAACTCCAAAGGGATCATGGCTTTGGAAGCAAAAATGGTAAATTTCTGCCAAACTGGCTCAAGAAAAGCCAGTCCAGCAGAAGCACAGCAGACCACAAAAAGAGAAGTGGAGCAGAGGAGAAGTGGATTCAACAAACTCCTCTCCAGATCCACGTTTCCAAACCTGTACAAGTCAGAAATTCAGGGCTGTTGAGCCCTTTTTTTGACCGGGCAGGTTGAAACCATTCAGAGGGACCACAAAACCATGGTTTTCATTTATCTTAGAAGAGAAAATAAAACCAGTCAGTTACTAAATTGCAAACGCTCAAGTGTCCAAAGGCAAATCCTATTGCGTGTCACTCAGCCGACCCATTATCTATTTTCTGTCTGTCTAATCCAGGCATTTGGGGATTGCTACAAAATTATCTGAATTTGACAAATTATAGTGCAACTCACCCATAGCAGCAGTAGTAAATGACTTTTATACCCCAAATGCAGAAAGGAATGAGTGCACCTTCAGGGTTGTTTTTCAGAGCTGGCAGTGATTAGACCATACCGAAAGAGGAAGGTCAAGATCTCTTCTGGCTGGTGCCAGAGTGCAGGACACGGAATAATCAGGTCCAGCTGCAGCAAGCCAGATTCAGGCTGGACATCAGGAAAAGCTTCCTCATTGTCAGCCTTGAGAAGAGAAGACTGAGCAGGGACGTGGTATCTCCCTATAAATCCTTGAAAGACTATCACAAAGAGGAAGGCCGAGGTATCTTCTCACTGATAAAAGAATGTAGGACGCGGAATAATCAGGTCCAGCTGCAGCAACCCAGATTCAGGCTGGGCATCAGAAGAAGCTTCCTCATGGTCGGAGTGATAGGGCAGTGGAACCAGCTGCCTGGAGGGGTGGTGGGCTCTCCCACACGAGAGCCATTCAGCAAGGACCTGGCCAGCCGCCTGAGTGGGATGCGGTAATGTGGTGTCCTGCAACTGCAGGGGTTGCACTCAATGGCCTTCATGGCCCCTTCGAACTCTTCTGTTCTATGAAAGCCTGTGGGGCCATGACTAAGAAAGCCCCGTCAAAAGTATACAGCAGACGAATGGCTCTTGGTGGGGTGGGGTGGGGAATGCTTGAGCAACAAGGCTGCCCCCTATGGGGGAAAGCTGACATAAACCTTATAATTCACCCAAGGCTTGCACAAAAACTTTTACTTTTCCAGGCATGGCCTGCAACACTGCAAAGTATAGGAAAATCATTCACTTGCACATAAGGCACCCCAGTATCTGAAACCGAGACAAGAAAGGAAAACATTTCCCTTGCTTTCTTTGTGCAGCTCTTTTGAGTCTGTTAACATAAATGTTTGTGTGAGCGCTGACAGGGAAATGCAAACACGGCCTGGCGGATTCAAGATGGCGCTGTGACAGCAACGCTTTGCTCGCTGCTCATATCTGGGTGAGAGTTCTCAATGTGCAGCAACATTATTAAAGAGGATAGTGAAACAATTGTGTTGCGCTTCGAGGAATAATTTTGCATCTCCTGCCTGATTCACAAGTCAGCTCAGTTGTCAGGTGGGATTTGAGGGGGAAGGTGTGAAAAGCAGGCAGATTGGTGGGTTGAGTTTTCCGTTCACGCTTGGAGGCAGAGTATGAACTGGTCCAGAAAGAAGAATGCCCAAGCTGTGCAAACTTTCGGATCTCCCATTTATCTTTCTCCTCATCATTCCTACTGCAGATGGCATGCGTGGCATTTAATCGAGAATTCCTAGCTCAGAGTTTTGAGCAGACAGAGCAGCTTGGTCTGAATTGTTCTCTCAGGTCGTCCCTGCTTTTATATGCAAAGTTATTCTTGTTGCCTTTGGCCAAGAGTCTCCATTTCCCAATCCTGGAGTAGGCACTGCTTCCTTGGATATAAAACAAGTCAGCCCTCTGCTAGCATCTTATATACTGAATTTTATTTTCAAGAAAATAAAGAGATTCCATTTTCCCTTAAATTCCTGGAAAATGGAAAGGTGAGTAGTTTGGGAAAGCCCGTGAGGTGTAGTGGATAGGAAGATGCACCGGGACAAAGAGAACTGGGGTTCAAGTCCTCATTGGGTTGCACAGCTCACTTGGGTGAACTAGGGCCAGTCACTGACTCTCAGCCTGACCTGCTTCACAGGTTGTTGTGAGGATGAGATGGAGAGGAGCGCTCTCATGGAACAATCTCTTGAGCTCCTTGGAGGAATAAAGGGCAATATTAATGTCACAAATAAATAAATAGCCACTCCCAAAATGGTGCTATCCAGGGTAGAAAGTGTGCTACTTGGTGCAAAATCTGTGCAATTTTTAAAACGCCTTCCCGCCCTTTTTCTCCCCACAACAGAACTATTAAGGAGGGAAAGTTGGAAAAGCTGCAAATGCCTTTTTGCTGTTGGTCGCTGATAGGGAGACGATCAACTAGAAGCGTGCCTGGTTCTTGAATAGAGAGGATACTGGAAGTTTTGGTGGAAACAAAACTGCATTATGGGATCCGCTGAACAGCCAGTCTGGTCACCTTCTGTGTGTGGATTTGTCAGGAGAGCTCTTGATCGTTTGCTCAGATATGAAAAGGTTTTCAAATTGCTGTTCACTACAGAGAAAGAGAGGGAGCGCGACTCTAAAGAATGACTCATATTCTACAATTTCAGGTGGGCAGAAAATGTAAAACTGCTTAGCAGAATGTATTAAAACCTTCTGAAAGTCATTTGTGTCCATTTTGATGACTAAAAATTGGAAGGATGATGCTGAAAAACTATCTTGAAGCCAATCTAGTTTCAGTAACACATTGCAACAGAAGATGTTTTTTAAATTTTAATTATTTCCAAAACAAGCTGACAGACACCAATGAATCTTTTAGATATCTCTCATAACAAGTCAAACACATGCTAATTCTTTCCAGATGGGTGAGATTTAGTCTTCCAATATAATTAATATCATGAATAAAAATAGCCAGGTTCTTTATGTGAATGCATAGTTACATTGGCAAAAAAAAGCAAGCAAGGATGGGAGAGAGAGAGATCTGGATCGGACGACCTGTAAAATCACATCAAGATTTCTTTTGTGTGGTGTGGAACACATGCCAACAGGCACTTGTAGCCACTGATGAAGCGTTGCAAAAAGAGAGAGAAAGAGGATGCAACCGTAGAAGCAAATCATACTGACAAACATTCTAGAGGTGCAGTTTTATGGTTCTGCAAATCTGATCAAGAAGAGAAGAAAATACACCAACAAACTGAGAAACCAAGCTGTGGCAAGCCCTGGTGTAGCATTTCGCAGAAAAGGTGCAGGTGTGTTTAGGAATGGGAAAAATTAGAAAACATACAATAGAAGATCCCTGATTTGTCAGTTTTACATTTCTGGGGTCTAGGATGGGGATTAGATAATTTGCAGCACCAACATCTTGGAAGAAATTTAAGCAAGAAAAACCTTGGATGCTCCCCATGGTCAGCAGAAGCCTCATTCCAGCCTTTTGGGGCTTTGGACTTAATGGTCCACCATGAGAGATGAATTTGGGGGCAGGGTCTTGCTTCTTTGCTTGGGAAATCTTGTGCTCATTTCATTCTCTCCAGAAATGGAATTTGCAGGACGAGAGAGATCAATTGCATGTTTTATGGGCTGGTGTCTTGGGGATGAAGCTGAGTGTGCACGGGTGCTTTCCTTTTTAGGGTGGTGTCCGAGGTCATATTTCTTTTGAGAGCTAGAGAAGGCTTAAGAGAGTGTGTTGCAGCTTGGCCTGCAGAACCTGCACCCCGCCCCTCTTTGCGCTTGCAAACAGCTTTTCCAAAACCCACGGCAACCAGAGGATGCGTCCCAAAGCTGCGATCACCTCTCTTCTCCAGACAACCAATCTTTTTTGGTAATTTCCCCAACATCTCTGCACTTCTTTCCCTGTTCTAAAAGGGCGGAATGCGTCTTGTCATTCCGTATGACTAGTAGCAAAAGCCTGAAGCTAAGATCATGCGTTTTGATGGTAAATCAGTTATAATGTGATTCCAACTCGGATCGCCATCACAAATCAAAATACAAAGATGGGTGGTGCTTGGGGTATTTTGCTCTCTTGCCTGCCACTGCAATGTGCCCCCACCCCCACCCCCAGGAAGTTATCTGAAATGCTTTTTTCAAATCGGGGCTCAAACGGGTTCTGTGCCCCTGGTATCTGAACCCAACCCCGAACAGATGGTCTCCTGCTTTACTTACATCATTTTTCTCTCCTAGTCCAAGTGGAAGGGAAACTGCTTTGGTGTGTTTGTGACCGAATCGGGCAGTGCCAAGCTATTCCCAGTAACTTCAAGGTGACAGTGATGGGAAGGTGGGTTTGCCGAGCTGGTATGCCTCTCCAAGCACTTTACAAAAGAGGAGGAGAGGCTGTGTTTCTCCTGGGTGCAGAGAGGCTGCAATGATATCCGCATATTGTTTTGTGCCCCCTTAGAGATGTGGGCTTCAGGTCATACCTCCTCTTTAAATTCCTGCCTGTTCCTTCTCAATAAAGGCCCAGGTTCAGCACTTCCTGCTGCTCGGCTGAAGTCCTGCTGCAGCAGGAGCAACATCCGTCTCCTCGGGGTGGGAAGTAGCGGCGGCCAGAGGAATCCATCAGGCCTTCCTTGGCTCCTGTGGACAGCTGGGCCCCCCAGCTGACTCGAAAAGGAAGTGCAGACTCCACAGAACAGATCTGCACCATTTGCAAATAGAACTGGAACCATTTGCAGAACTGGAATTCGCCTAGGTGAATGCCAAGCATTTTCAAAAATGAAGGCTATTGGGCTGATCTTTTAAAAATGTCCCTGGAGGGAAATCGCAGCTTGGGAGGTGATTCCAGGCCCAGAGGGCTTGGGAGACACCAGGAAGGCCAGGTAGGAGTGGGGAAGCAGATGACGGGGTGATCCGGAGGGAAACAGCCTGCCCTTTCCAGCTCTCCTCTTCCCTGCTACTCGGAGCAGCTCCTGGCCTCACAGATTTCCGTCCAAACCTCTGCCACGAACTCTTCGGGGAAAGCAAATTCGCCCAGCAGCGAATCCAGGCCACGAGCAAAGTCTTCTGAGCTCTGGCATTCTTTGGCCATCTCTACCACTGTGGATGCTGCAGAAGGTGAGTCTGTGTTAGATCTTAGCTTGGGCATAACGCCAGGTCACACCCGGTGGTCTCTTATCCCACCCTCTCTTGGTGGGACAGTTCTGCATGTTCATCTCGAGTTGAGAGGTTGCACCTGCCATAAGAACATGTCAGAACTGCCCAAGGTTGGTGTCAAGGGTAGACCATCTCAGCACCTTCTGAGGTCCCGCACCCTGGTACAAGTCACTCCTCCTCTTCCCCATCACAACATGCATCTTCTCCTGCTTCTCTGTGCAGCCCAGAAGATGGAGATGGTAGGAAGGCCAAGCAGGAGACGTCCTCATGGCCTCTTGGCTTCCTTCCCACCCAGCAAGAGGTAGCCATCGTGAGGAAGAGGAGGATGAACATGGGCGGGGTACATGGAGTTGAAGCAGGTGGAGAATGTCATGATGAGGAGACTTAGGTGGGTGTCATGCCCAAGGACCCTCTGAAGGATGGAGCTGGTGCAGGAACAGTACTGCTGAATTAACCACAGGTCCTCCTGGACCACTGTCCCACTTCCTGCAGTGGCTGGACAGATGCGGAAGCTTTCCCACATGAGATAGGCTGCCTTTCCATATGGAGGTTCTATCCAGGTGTGTTGATACAGTAGAAGGACAGGTAATGTGTGTGTGGGGGGAGGACCTCCATGAATGCCAACCAGTAATATCGGGGGAGAAGCATCCCCAGTCTTCACTCCCCACTCACCAAGTTCCACATCCCGAATGCCCATGTAGCTCTCCAGCAGGTCATCCACCTTCTCAGCAGCTTCTTCCTCAGACTCATTCGGCTGCAAACAGAAGAGAGGGCAGGAGATCAGTCCATGCTCAGGCCCCTTGGCCTTCCCAGCAGAGTTGACTACTCTGGATTGTAAACCTGTTGGCCCTCTTGATGCATGTGCTGTGGAAGACACCATCCTGAGACCTGATAAACCTGGATCCATCTCTCCACCTAGTTTCCTCCTGCCCCTTCAGTCCCTCAGCCTGATCTGCCTTGCAGGATAAAATTCAGGGCAAGAGGAGAAAGCCAAACACACCCCCTTGAACGCTTGGGAGGGCTGATGCAATTAAAAAATGCAATACATTTTTGGGAGATCCAGGCAGAAAGTCATGGGCACAAGCAGCACCTGGCTTTTTGGACCCTCCAGGATGAGACAGTTGACCAAATACTGGCTGGAGAGCAACTCTTGTCATGCCCAGCAACTCTCAGTCTTTTTGCAGGCAAATGTCTGCAAAGCCACAAAGCATCTGTGGAGCTCCCTTCATGGCCACAGTGCAGAAAGAACAAAAATAGGGCGAGGGGCCAGACTGCCCCCATGAGATGCCCCATGCCACAGATGTCACCTTATGGCCTCACGCTTGCTCCATTTCCTCACTCTCAGCACGGGAAAACAGGCTCAACCAGCACCGGAATAGAAGCTTCTCCAAACTGCTTGCCGTCCACACTGGAGTGGAGCAAGTGCGTGAAGAAGGACCTGCCCGGTCCTTGGAAGAACTCGACTTCTCCTCCCAGCTCAGGCTGAATCCCCGGCCTCCCCCTGGGCAGCTACTCCCAGTTCTGAGCTTCCCACCAGCTGCATCCCTCAGTGATCTCTGAGGAAGGCCAAGCTCCTTGAGGAGGCTCCTGGCCTGGATGTGGAACCGCATCTGGTTGAGAGGTCCCCAGGCCCTGAGGTAGGAGGGGATCCAGTAGAACACCCTCAGGACAACTGAGCTCCTGTGGGATCGTCTGCAGCCGCCCCCCAGCCCCAGGCACGTCTTTCCCATTTCATCATTTCTGTTGAATCCCCACAAGAAGAGGAGGACACGCGTGATCCCCGCCTCCCCGGCCTGACTCACCGCCTCCTCCACGGTGGCACAGCCTTTGGCACGCAGCCGTAGCGTCTCCCGTCCGCTGGCCACACTGCCCTCGTGGGGGGCCTTGCCGCTCCGTGTGCGCTGGCTGATCATGTCTGGGGGGGGGGGGAGCAGGGAGAGTGGCGGGTAGTCAGCTGGGGGAAGGGGCTTCCCTTCCCTTCAGAATGAACCGCAGGGCACGGTTTGTATTCCCAGCTTCCAGGCAGTCGATGCCCTCCGTGGGCGCCTTCTTCCCTTGCGTTCCCTGAAAATCCACAGGCGGCACTTCCACCCTGATGCCGCTACAACCCGTGCCAGCCAGGGGAATCGGGCAAAGCAGCAGCCCACAGCTGCCCCTTGTGTGGATGGTCCACACGCCCCCATCCAAACTGCAGCACGTTCCTCTTTTCACGCCAAGAACACGTTTGCACATCGCAAGAAACCACCCTGAGAATAAGCCAAGATGGGCTGTTTGTTCACTCGCTATCCCAGGTTACTTCCGACAGGAGGCCCAGTGCTCTCCGCTTTCTCTCTGCTCGCTCCCACTTCTGTTCCTGGCACTTCTGCATGGGCTTTCATAGCAAAGCTTCTTATATCCTTGTCCCTATGACATTATTTTAGAATCCCTCTATATAGTCCCTTTCTGGCTTCTTGCCTCGGTTCTCTTGCTACCCCATTTCCTTAAAAAAAAGGTTATTTTCAGAGCTTTGGAAGGATGCAAATTTTCTCCTTTTGTCTTATTATTGGCAACCATGTGACTTTGCACTTTCGTCTGTCTGCCATTTACTTTCCTTAGCAGTCCTGGTCAATATCCCTTCTATATGGTTTGAAATCCGCCACATCAATTTCGCCCTCTCAGCTGATTACCGTCCAGCTAATGCTTGTCAATTCCCTCCCTTCCTAGCTTGCCGCAACCCTGAATTCCAAAAGCGAAAGAGGAATGGGACGGATTGCCCTTCTC